CTGTTATTTTAGTACTACATTAAAATTGGCACAATGATACGCCATATCATATTTTAGATACTAAAATATATACCTGTAATTAGGTAGAAGTTGGAACAAAAAAATCCAACAAGTAATTCAGAAGCTTTTCATTCTATAAAATATTACTATTGATTGTTTCAACAAGGTCTTTCATATAAATAAATTCAACAAATCACTAGACTTTTGGTTATGACAATATTTGACCAACTTAAATGAGAAACTAAATTTATAAAAAGGGATATAATGATAAAATGCCACCTAGGGTTTTCAACTCTCGTACTCAAAGACAGCAAGAACGAGGGCAAAATCGTATTTCCGTTATAGATGTATTTATCAAGCCAGCCAAACTTTTGTTTAAGCCACCATATTTATTGTACTATTATAAGCATATTATAAAGTAATCTTTTGTGACAATAATCTGTTCATATTTAACATGAAATTAATATTACAAGCCTTATCTTCATTATCTAGTGCAGAGCTGGCATTTTTTTTTTTGTTAACGGGTGTCAATTGAAAAGCCTGTCATAGTTCTCTTTTCTTTTATAGGGATTACTACTTAATTAGTATTTAAATCCATCAAAATGTTAAATTTACTACTAATACTTGTAATTACTTTGTAGTACTATTTTAGATAGTTAACCATTCCGTACCGTTCAGACATACGGAACCACTAGTTACATTGCACCAAAGGCATTATGCATGCCTTAATTTTATTTTTATTTTCTCTTGGTCATACATACCTCTCACTTTCAAATATTTTTTTTATTTCGAAACTCAAATAAACTGTATCCTAATTAATAATAAAACAAATTTCAACTTGTGACGCTCTATGAATATAAAAAAACAAAAGAAAAATGGTTATTTAATAATATAAACGAAAATAACACGAAAATAGAAAAAGATTCTAAAAAAAAGAGGTCTAGCGGGGTAAAATGGGAATTAATGTAGACGGTGAGCATGCCAGTTGGCTCTTAACCTCACGGCTGTGTCTGCCAGCTAAGCACACATTCCACGTTAACGCCGTTTAATTTTCAATAACGGAGTATTGTGTTAACTTTGACGGATTATTCGAAAATCTATCCCCGAGCCCGCCAAATTGAGTTGGACTTGTGAGACGATAGTGACTCAATAAATCTCGGTTTAACAAAACCGGCTCTTTTTTTCTCTTAACCGAAACAAGACTATAGACATGATTATGATGTTTGTACAAATATAAACATCTCAAATATTTTCTTTAAATGTCATGTGAATGTCTTATTGTGTTGTTAAGATACGTTGACGTCTAGTGCTCGTATAATTTTTTTTTTAAAAAGAAGATAATTTTTTTAAAACAGCATGGCTGCGGTTTGAACCTGCAACCTCTGAGACATAATTGCAAGCTTT